GGGCTGCTATACAAATATCAATCTGTGGATGAGCGAATCCTCTCTCGGCTCTCAAAGTGCTGGTATTACAGGTATGAGCCACTAACCCAGCTAGCGCTATATTCATCTTTTAAGTAAACCTTATTTGTTCATACTCAGCAGATATACATATTAACAATTGTTATTGGCTGTACAGCTTCTTATTTCTCCTGATTATTGTTAGTTGTATGGGTCCAGAAATTACCATTTCCCCTGAAGTTTTCCACTTTTATACATGGGTATATAACGCAACAGTCTCTGAGATGGTTTGCTATCTCACGTGTGTACTGTTTTTTTTTGTTTTTTTGATTTGTGATGAGAGAGAGAGTGTCGAGTGTGCATTAGAGCTCGGTTCTCACTTGCACCTCCATCTCCGGGTTCAGTGAGTGAGGTAGGCTGGATTGCAGGCGGCGCACATGCCCAGGCTGAAGTGTGTTGTTTTTTGAGACGGAGTCTTGCTCTGTCGCCCAGGCTGGAGTGCAGTGGCCGGATCTCAGCTCACTGCAAGCTCCGCCTCCCTGGTTCATGCCATTCTCCTGCCTCAGCCTCCCGAGTAGCTGGGACTACAAGTGCCCGCCACCTCGCCCGTCTAGTTTTTTGTATTTTTTAGTAGAGACGAGGTTTCACCGGGTTAGCCAGGATGGTCTCAATCTCCTGACCTCGTGATCCGCCCGTCTCAGCCTCCCAAAGTGCTGTGATTACAGGCTTGAGCCACCGCGCCCGGCCAAAATGGGAATTTTTAACAATGCGTTCGACAAACATGCCCCATCCCTTCTGAGCGCTTTGCATGTATTAACTTATCCAATGCCTGGAACCCTATGAAGTGATTGTTGTTATCACTGCCATTTTATAGTGGAGGGAACCAAGGCACAGCAAGGCCAAGCATGATTCCCAAGGTCACACAGCCAGCAGGTGGCCAGGCCAGGCGGGGCACTACCCCCTGCTGTCAAGCACCATACAGACTCAGCTCTTTGGCCCCAGGCCGGAGCCTTCTTGCACTGACAGGGTCGTGAATGGGGTTCGTGTGTGCCCTCCCCATTGGGATGCGACCTCCGGGGGCGGGGACCTCTTCCGGCGCGGGAGGCATTTAATGAGCTCTCTGGACAGAGAGTCTTAGGAGAGCCACTTCCCTTCTTAGCCGCCTAAAACACCCTGCAGGGCTCTGCTCTGTGAACTGTATTCGAAGGCAGGGCTTCTAATACATAAACCGACCAGAAGGAAATGACCGGCTTGGAAGGTCTGAGTCTGGGATGGAGCAAAACCCACTTCCGGCGGGGTACGCGCGCCTCCTGGCGGCAGATTCCTGCTAAGACAGCTCCGCCCACCGGCCAGAAATGTTTGATTTCCGAAGCGTGCGATTTGCAAACTGGCTATTGTCTGAAAATCACTAAGTCAAGCTGGGGGGCGCCTACCACTGGCTTCCAAAATTTTCTGACCATGACTCACAGTAAGAAATCATTTCGCGCCCGGCGCAGTGGGTCACACCTGTAGTCCCAGCAGTATGGGAGGCCCAGGTGGGCGGATCACGTGAGGTCAGGAGTCGAGACCATCCTGGCCAACACGGTGAAACCCCGTCTCTACTAAAAATACAAAAATTATCTGGACTTGGTGTCTTGCACCTGTGGTTCCAGCTACTCAGGAGGCCGAGGCCGGAGAATCGCTTGAAGCCAGGAGACAGAGGTTGCAGTGAGCCAAGATTGCACCACTACACTCCAGCCCGGCGACAGAGTAAAACTCCATCTAAAAAAAAAAAAGTTATACTCACTTCCGCACTTCATGGAATTGCAAGTGTTCAATGAACACAAATACGAAACACATCAGGAAGGCAGAAATGGTAAGTAACTGCTTAAGGGGGATGAGGTTTTCTTTTGGAGTGATAGAAATGATTAGGAAAGAGACAGAAGCAGTAGTTGCACAGTACCGCGAATGTACTAAATGTCACTGTTCTGTGAAATGGCCCCTGTAAAATGGTTTTCTATTATGTGAATTTCACCTCAATTTAAAAAAAAATCATACTTGGTAAGGAGACTTTATTTAGAGACTCAGTCTCGCTCTGTCACCCAGACGAAACCACGGCTCACTGCAGCCTTGAGAAGAGACTTCATTTTAAAGGATTTTTTTTAAGGTGGGAAAGGGACGATTGCAATAGAGAGAAGCAAAAGATTTGCAAGTGAGACAAGAATTGAACAGGAAGGTTTTTTCCTTTTTTTTTTTTTTTTTTGAGACAGAGTCTTGTTCTGTTGCCCAGGCTGGAGTGCAGTGGTGCAATTTCAGTCCACTGCAACCTCTGCCTCCTGGGTTCAAGCAATTCTACTGCCTCAGCCTCTCAAGTAGCCGGGACTACAGGCACACGCCACCATGCCCAGCTACTTTTTGTATTTTTAGTGGAGATGGGGTTTCACCATGTTGGCTAGGATGGTCTCGAACTCCTGACCTCAAATGATCTGCCTGCTTTGACCTCCCAAAGTACTGGGATTACAGGCATAAGCCACCGTGCCCAGTCCCTTCTTTAAAAAATAAAATAAAATAGAGATAGGGTCTCATTTTGTCACTCAGGCTGGCATTCAGTGGCATGATCACAGCTCACTGCAGGCTCAAACTCCTGGGCTCAAGGGATCCTCCTGCCTCAGCCTCTCAGAGTGCTGGGACTATAAGCACGTGCCACCATGCACGGCTAATTTTTAATTTTTTTTGTAGAGATAGGGTCTCACTATGTTGCCCAGGCTTCTCTGGAATATCCTCCTCAGCCTCCCAGAGTGCTGGGACCACAGGTACAGGCCACGTGCACAGCCAAAGACTTTTTCTTTATGGGGAGGAGTAAACAAGGCTAGAAAAAACCAGCTGTGGGGAAATAAGATGCAAGGGCTACTGTATAGGACAATAGACCAGGGAATGTTTTATTCTTCTCAGGAGAGGTGCTTAAGGAGGGGCTGTATTCTGGCTGAGCCTGTGGACGGACTGAAATTCAGAGGCCGAGCAGTGAGGAGAAAGTTAGGTTAAACGAGCATTTTGTTTCAATTGATCACTGGGGACAAAACAGTGCAGCTAATCATGTATGAGACAAATAAATGGGAATTTGGGGGGGTCTATGTCTGTCCTTGTCTTTGGCAGACAAGGGGTTCATCCTCAAGTCTTATCTGAGTCATATATGGAAGGGTGGTTCTTCTCAGTACGTCATCTCCTAGAATGCAAAAAAGCAGGAGGATTTCTTTTTTGTTGTTAGTTTTTTAAAACTTTTTGGGCCAGGCGCGGTGGCTCACGCCTGTAATCCCAGCACTTTGGGAGGCTGAGGCAGACGGATCAGGAGGTCAGGAGATTGAGACCATCCTGGCTAACACAGTGAAACCTCGTCTCTACTAAAAATGCAAAAAAATAGCCGGGCACGGTGGTGGGTGCCTGTAGTCCCAGTGACTTGGGAGGCTGAGGCAGGAGAATGGCGGGAACCCGGGAGGCGGAGCTTGCAGTGAGCCGAGCTCGAGCCACTGCACTCCAGCCTGGGGGACACAGCGAGACTCCGTCTCAAAAAAAAAAAAAACTTTTTGTAGAGACAGGGTCTCGCTATGTTGCCCAGGTTGGTCTCAAGCTCCTGGGCTCAAACGATCCTCCCACTTCAGCCTCCCAAAGTGTTGGGATTACAGGTGTCAGCCACCACGCCTGAGCCGGAAAAGTAGGGGGATTTCTTCACTGTCACTGTTGTCCAGGCGCACAAGGCTCCAGTAAAATTCAGCACTATTGCAAAGAAAGAGGCTTTGCAGATGGGTGGAGAATAACTTTTTTTTCATTCATTCATTTGAGACATTCATTCATTCGTTCTCTTGCCCAGGCTGGAGTGCAGTGGCACGATCTCGACTCACTGCAACCTCTGCCTCCCGGGTTCAAGCGATTCTCCTGCCTCAGTTTCCCAAGTAGCTGGGACTACAGGCGTGCGCCACCATGCCCAGCTAATTTTTGTATTTTTAGCAGAGACAGGGTTTCACCATGCTGGCCAGGCTGGTCTCGAACTCCTGACCTCAAATGATCCGCCTGCCTCAGCCTCCCAAAGTGCTGGGATTACAGACGTGAGTCAAGGCGTCCGGCCCCAAGTAATTTTTTTTGTAGAGACCGCGTCTTGCTGTGTTGCCGAGGCTGGTCCCCATCTTCTGACCTCAAGTGATCCTCCTGCCTCAGCCTCCCAAGTACGTAGGACTACAGGTGCACACCACCTTGCCCCACTAAATTTTTTTTTTTTGAGATGGAGTTCCACTCTTGTTGCTGAGGCTGGAGTGCAATGGTGCAATCTCGGCTCACTGCAACCTCCGCCTCCAGGGTTCAAGGGATTCTTCAGCCTCAGCCTCCCAAGTAGCCGGGATTACAGGGACCCACCACCACGCCCGACTAATATTGTATTTTTAATAGAAACGAGGTTTCACCATGTTGGTCAGGTTGGTCTCGATCTCCTGACCTCGTGATCCACCCACCTTGGCCTCCCAAAGTGCTGGGATTACAGGCGTAAGCCACAGCACCCGGCCATGTTTTTTAAATTATTTTTTGTAGAGATGAGTTCCCATTATGTTGCCCAGGCTGGTTTCCACCTCCTGGGCTCAAGCAATTCACCTGGCACAGCCTCTCAAAGTGCTGGGATTACAGGCGTGCGCCACTGCGCTCAGCCCCCCACTTTTTTTTTTTTTTTTTTTTTTGAGACAGAGTTTCAATCTTGTTTTCCAGGCTGGAGTGCAATAGGACGATCTCGGCTCACTGCAGCCTCTGTCTCCCGGGCTCAAGAGAGTCTCCTACCTCAGCCACACAAGTTGCCGTGATTACAGGCTCGCGCCACCACACCCAAATAATTTTGTATTTTTAGTGGAGATGGTGTTTCACCTTGTTGGTCAGGCTGGTCTTGAACTCCTGACCTCAGGTGATCTGCCCACCTTGGGCTCCCAAAGTGCTGGGATTACAAGGTCACCCTCTCCCCAGCTGCTTCTCTCAAAGACAAGATGCACAGGCCAGAGGAAATGCTTCATTTTATTTTTGCTCATAACGTCCCAAAAAAATCAGTACTCCACCTTCCCTCACCTAGACACAGCCCCTCTCCAACACCTTCACAAAACACTGATTTTCTCCTACAGCTAAAATGAACACCCAGTCACCAACTACAGTCCTGCCCTGCCCCTCCTCCCATTGGCCTGCTCATCTTCCCGTTCTGTAAACCTGGCTGCCTTTAGGCTTCCTCCCTTAGCATAGTGTCCCAAGGTCACCTAGCCTGCTTTTTGCCTGTAGGATATGGGTCCACTTCTCAAAGCCTGCCCTGACTTACATCCTCATTTGCATAGTCCTTCAGCCCTATCCTATAGCCACTCCACTCACCCCAACGAACTGCAAGAAACCAGGTTTGAAATTCAAGAGACCAGGTTTCCAAGCTCCCAGCTGCTTCCTGTACTCCCCGTGGGCCTCGGTGCCTTGGATGTTATGTGACAGGCACAGACATTGACTAAGGCCAAACATTGAATGATTTGGAGAAGAGGGAAGAAAATCCAGAAATACACAAGAGAGGTGATAAAAGCAGAGAGAGGACAAAAGGATAAAACCAGAGAGGAGTTGGGTGGTTTTGTGGGGAAGAAGAGTTTTTTTTTTTTTTTAATAGAGACAGGGTCTTACTATGTTGCCCAGGCTGGTATTGACCTCCTAGCCTCAAACCATCTTCCTGCCTTGGCCTCCCAAAGTACTGGGATTACAAGCATAAGCCATTGTGCCCGGCCAAGAGAGGGGTATGGAATTAGGTGGAGGCAGGGGGATGATGGAGCCAGAGCTGAAGACCAGCCCCCAGAAGCCACACCCCCGTCCCTCTAGCAGCTACGGGTCCTCTGGCTCCGGGCTTTGTACACCTCGATGAGCAGGTCCTTGACGTACTGGATCTCGCGCTCCACGGACTCTGCCCGTTCCCTCAGCTCACGATTCCGTGCCTCCAGCCCCTGGCACTCGCCCTCCAGGGCCTCACCCTCTGCCCGCTTCCGCTGGCGGTACCTCAGAGCCGCCGACTTGTTCTGGTCTCTCTTCTTTTGCTTGCGGTCCCCTCGGGTAGTGGCAGGATGTGGGTAGGGGGTCAGGCGAGAAGGTTGAGGTGGAAGAGGAGGAAGGGGCTGCTGTGGCACGGGCAGGGGCGGCATCCCCACCTCCCCCTGCCCAGCCTCGTTGCGGCAGTAGATGGACAGCAAGTCTAGAGTATCCAAGACAGGGGGCTGGGGGAGGTCAAAGGAGGGGAGGGGCAGGGGGAGGGAGGGGCCTGGTGGTGGTGGCGGCGGCGGGGAGGGTGGCAGGAGGAGTGGGGCATCTAGGAAGAAGTCTTCCATCTGTTCCAGCTCCTTCTTGAGGAGGGCGGCCATCGCTTCCAGGTCGGGTGGGGTTGGGGAAGGTTGGGGGAGGGTGCCTGGGGGGAAAGGGGGCTCCAGAGGGAGGAGAGCTGTGAAATCAACTCGCTCGGTCATCCAGTCAGAGAAGCCATCACCTGGGATGAAAGTGGGGAGGGATACAAAATTTCCTGAGTTGCCGGTCTTCTGCCTAGTTGGGTGCTCACTCACATCTCATTCAGGTGCATCTGTTCCATTCATTCAGTAAAACAACTAACCAGTGAATCATCAAACCAGTCAACAAACCAATAAACCAGTGAAGAAACCAATAAACCAGTCAACCCACCAACCAACCATCAACCATCTAACCACCCAGTCAACCAAGCAATCAACCAACCAACTAACAAACCACTCAACCAACCAACCAACCGACGAATCAACCAACCAACCAACCCGTCAACCAATCAATCAAGGAATCAGCCAACCAACCAAATAAACCAGTCAACCAATCAGTCAACCCATTAATCAATCAATGAACCAGTTGACCAAAAACCAACAAATTAGCCAATGAGAGAATCAGTCTTAACCTATAAGAGGGTCCAGGAGAAAAAAAAATTAAAAAATAAAAAAAGACAGAACCAGCCAACCAACCAGTGACTCAACCAACAGTCAATTAAGCATTTCTTCAACCATTCCAACATCTCCTTTACTGACTACTCTGTATCTGTGGTGTCTGTATTTACTCTGTTCTTAAAAGGCAAACTAGATCACATTACACACAGATACACCTTGTTTCATCTTTACGCATTAATTACTGAAACCCACGATGTGCCAAGCATTTGGGATATAGTAATGAATAAAATGATTCCTGCCTCCTGAGGGCTTCTGCGTATGCAGTTCCCTCCAACTAAAACACCCAAGTTCCCTTGGGTGTTTTCCTGGCTCATTCCTTTCCTTTTTTTTTTTTTATTTTAAGGGATAAGGTTTCACTCTGTTGCCCAGGCTGCAGTGCAGTGGCACCATCTTGGCTCACTGCAGCCTAGGCCTCCCAGGCTCAAGCGATCCTCCCACCTCAGACTCCTAAGTAGCTGGGACTACAGGCATGCGCCACCACGCCTGGCTAATTTTTTTTTTTTTTTTTTCCCCTATAGATATGAGGTCTTGCTATGTTGCCCAGGTCCTGAACTCCTGGACTAAAGCAATTCTCCCTCCTCAGCCTCCCACAGTGCTGGGATTACAGGCCACCATGCCTGGCTTCCTTCCCATCCTTTATGCCTCCGTCAACATGTTACCTACTTGGAGGTCTTCTGGCTACCCACTCTGAATTAGGTCCCCTTTGTCATTTTGTAGCTCAGCTGCTAGGTGTTTCTGACTTATTCCAATACACTCTCATTTAATTTGCCTCCGGTCTACTCTCCACAGTGTGAGCTGCTGGAGGGCACAGACCATGTTCTTCTTCTTCTTTAGCTGTATCCTCAGCACCTAAAACAGTGCCTGGCACATTGTAGGCACTCAACATTTAATGAATACATGGATGAGTTCTTCCTCCCCCATCTTCCCCTGCCCTCCACTCCCCTGCTCCACCTTCCACCTGCCCTTACCTGCCAGGGGCTCTCCCCCCACTGGAAGCCCGCCCTCCAGGGCTCCCCCAAGGACCTCATAGGGAGCCACGGGGGCAGGGGCAGGGGGGAGTTTCCCATAGTCTACGAGCCATCCCAGCCCGCTAGCTGGGAGCAGGGTCCTGTCCAGCTCCAGCCCCAGGGTGGCCAGGAGTGACATGGCTGTAGCACAGGTGCAGGGCACTGATGGCAACAGGAGCGGCTGCACCAGCAGCTGGGACGAGGCTCTGGAGGATGCTCAGCTGGACGAAGACAGGCACCAAGGCGAAAGTGGAAGACCTACACGTGTGAGACAAGAGTGGGTGGGGTCGTGGGGTCAGGAAAGCCTCATCCACCGGCCAAAATCATGGGGAAGCCAAGCCACACCCCCAGGCACGTCCACGGGACTCCTCCCTCCCCCTTCCAACCACAGTTTATAACTAAGCCTCAGCCTCTCCGAATTCTAAATTTGCCCTTTCTTTACCCAAATCTGAGCCCCACCCACTCCCAAGGGAATTTCTTTAGGTCCTAAGGTAGGACCGATGCCCCACCCTTTCCCCCAATACAGAAACCTAAGGGTCTCCCAGGGGAATTACCTTAGGCCCCTCCCATCCACCTCAGAATATTCCGCTTCATGGAAAAACTCAATTCCAGGGACATTTTCTTCCAGCCACGCCCCTTGCCCTAAAATATTTCCTTTTGGCCCCACTGCCTTCCTAGCTTCCATCCCAAACCAGTGCCCAGGGGAACTGCCCCAGGCCCCAGCCCTTCAGCAATGTTATCCACTCAAATCCCACTCCTCGCTTTGCCACTGCCCCTCCAAGCCCCGCCCCTCATTGTTTATTTAGCCCCGCCCCTCTCCGATTCCCCAGAGGCCCCGCCTCTTTGTCCCGTCGAAGCCCCACCCCTCAGCTAAAGGTTGGCTTAGCCCCGCCCCTTCTCACAATGGGCTCACGAAATCCCACCCATCGTGACGACAGTGGTTCTAGCGCCACCCACTTAGAGGGCTGCCTCTAAGCCCCGCCTTCTCCCCTGTCAATCTAAGCCAGTCCCCGCCTCAGCAGGCGGCTGGTTTAAAAGGAAGGAAGTTGGGCTGTGAGCCCGAGCAACGTGGAGCAGGGAGGGTGGAGGAGGGTAGAGGGGGCAGGCAGAGAACAGCTACCCGAACGCCAGCCGTCCACACGCGGCTTTGCGCTGAGGGCCAAAGCGCATGCTACGTCTGCCGAGCTGTCCAATTGCTTTACACCTCCGCCTTCTTGGGAATCAGTGCGCATGTGCGGACACTCAGGGCCCGCCGCTCATTCATTACGGGGCACTGGTAGGCTACTGCGCAGGAACAACCAAGCACGCACAGAATCGTTTAGAAAAAGACCACACCCTCCCTTGGAGTGCGCAGGCGCAGCCACACGCCGGCTGACAAACATCGAGTCTCTAGAACTCTCCCACCCGGCTCCGGGCCCACTGCGCATGCGCAGCTGCGCGCCTTCGGCCCACCGTACCTCTTCTGCGCCTGCGCGACCGTGATTCCCCGCTCGCAGCTCCCCTCCCCCCAGGGCTCCCTAAAGAGGGCCACGAGCTGCGAAAGGGCGGGAAAGGCGGTTGGAGAGGGAGAGGTAAGCGGTTACTCACTCCATGGCTGCAGCAAGGAGAGGCGGCGGCGGCCTCGGCTGAAGAAAGAAGGTGGGAGCGGAGAGCGCAGGCGTGGTGAGCGCGGAGACGGGCTGGGGGCACAAAGGGGTCCAGGCTACAGAGCCATGGCCGGGGCTACGCAGGCGGAGGCGGAGAACGCTGTAGTTAGAAGAGACCGTGATCTGAGGACGAGGAATGAGGCGGCCCCGGGGACTGGGGACAGATATATTCCGAGTGGCGCAGCATGGCCCGCCCGGATCCTTCCGCGCCCCGCCCTCGCGGGGCCCCAACTGGGTGGCAGCCCGGTCCCCTCCTCCTGGGGATCAGGGGATCCGACCTCTTCCTTCCCACTCCTAGGGTCCAGGCCCCTCCTCCCTTTTGAGCCGGGGATCCAGCCCTCTCCTCGTAGCTCCGGGGTCTGGTTTCCTCCTAAACTCTGGTTTCTTTCTTTTTCTGCCTGTGAGGTCTGGGCCTGCTTCCTCCTGTGATTTTGTGGATCCAGCCTCATTCTCTTCCCGGAGACCTGCACCATTTAATTTCTGTTTCCCTTTCCCTGCTTGCAGAATTTCCGGCCAGCCACACTTTTCATGTTTTCATCCCCCAACTGCTGACCCCGAGAAACCCTCGTGGGTTAGAGTCCAGCGTGAGTCACAGCACTCTCCCGAACACAGACCTACCAGGATGGCCTCGGGCAAATAGCTTAAGTTCTCTTGCTTCATTTCCCTATCCGTAAAATAAGAAAAATCAGCTCTCCTGGTGGGTTTATGAAACTCAAGACGGTGTCTGGCAAGCCTTATGCACAGAGTTCAACTCATACGTTCCTGTTCAATTTTTTTGTGTGTGTGTGAGATGAAGTCTCTCGGTCTCTGTCGCCCAGGCTGGAGTGCAGTGGCGCGATCTCAGCTCACTGCAAACTCCGCCGAGTTCACACCATTCTCCTGCCTCAGCCTCCCGAGTAGCTAGGATTACAGGCGCCCGCCACCACGCCCGGCTAATTTTTTGTATTTTTAGTAGAGACGGGGTTTCACCTTGTTAGGCAGGATGGTCTCGATCTCCTGACTTCGTGATCGGCCCGCCTCGGCCTCCCAAAGTGCTGGGCTTACAGGCGTGAGCCACCGCGCCCGGCCTCAACATATTTTATTGGGGCCCAGTCTCACTTCTTCCTTTCCCCTTGCAAGAGCCGCAGACGTTGGACTGTCTAACTCTTGCTGTCGTTCTTCTGTCTCCTTCATTCCTCTGAAGTGTCTGTTTCCGGCCATCCTCATCTTCCGTTCCAAATGATGGGTGCCCAGGCCCCATCCCCTGACAGGGATTCAGACATCGAGGCCCCAGCTGCGTCCTTTTCTCCATCCCTTGCCCTTGGCTTCCTTTCAAACAGTCCTTAGCTTCCACGGGATAGGAACTATCTCCCAACCCTGCCAAAAATGGAAGATCTCCGTTTCCCTTTAGTCAGAGGGTAGCCATCTTGCCCCTTCTCATGCACAGGGCCCTCCACCAGCCGAGGTGGATGTCGGTCTTTTCTCTCTTGCAGAAACCCACCTTGTCCCATCCACGTCGGGACATCCCAGCTGGAGTTCAACCTTCATCCCTTCTGTGGCAGTTAGGAGACTGAATCAAGGTCCAGAGAAGGTGGAGGAATCCTGGTATTGAGCGTTTTACACAAGCTTCTTTCTCCTCCCTTGTTGCAGGCAGGAAGCCCTTCTTGGGATCTGACCACCTTCCCTTAGAGCACTTATTGTCCACTTTGCCAGCTTTTGAGCAGCTGTCCTATATTTCCTTGAGCCTGTAGGGGTTGTATTATCACTGAGACAGTATACAGTTGTTCCCTAATGTCCTTTCTGCTCCTTCTGGATGCCTTCAGGATGCCACGTCATATTTAGGCAGCTAAGAGCGTAAACTGAGCTTGTCCCATCCGTGGGCCCGCATGTGGCCCAGAATAGCTTTGAATGCAGCCTAATACAAATTCGTAAACTTTCCTAAACCATACGAATTTTTTGCGAGTGTTTTTTTTTTTCTTTTGAGCTCATCAACTATCATTAGTGTTATTTTATGTGTGGCCTAAGACAGTTCTTGCGATGTAGCCCCAGGAAGCCAAATTTTATACATCCTTGGCATAGACTCTGGAGCCAGATTTATGAGTTCAAAACCCGACTGCACCCCTCTTATTAACTGTGTGACCCTAGCCATTTCCCTTCCCGGTGTCTCGGTTTCCCCTGTGGTACTAGGTGGTGTTAAGAGTACCTGCCTCTGGGCCAGGCACGGTGGCTTACGCCTGTAATCCCACCACCCTGGGAGGCTGAAGTGGGCAGATTGCTTGAGCTCAGGAGTTCGAGACCAGCCTGGGCAACATGGTGAAACCCCGTCTCTACCGAAAATACAAAAAAATAGCTGGGTGTGGTGGTTTGTGCCTGTGGTCCCAGCTACTTGTGAGGCTAAGGCAGGAGGATCACTTGAACCCTGGGGTGGGGCGGAGGTTGCAGTAAGCGGAGATTGTGCCACCACACTCCAGCCTGGGTGACAGAGTGAGACCCTGTCTCAAAAAAAAAAAAAAAAAAAACTGCTTACCTCATAGGGCTGATTAAATGAGTTAATCCACGTTGAGCAGTTAGACTAGTGACTGGGACACAGTAGGTGCTGCATAAAAGTGGTTATTGTTACTGCTATAATTAAGGTGGATGTGTTCTCATTCCATTGCTGTGCAGTAAGTCCAACTTCCTTCCACTTCTCAGTATAGGTTTTTGAGCAAAAGCAGATGGAATTAAGGGCAGACTGTTGGACAGACTGCCAGTGGTAAGGACGCAGAGTCGTGCCCTACCCCAGCCCCCCACCGGCAGAATCTTCTCCTAAGAAGACCTTCTAGATTGTACTTGGGAACTGGGTTTGGTTTGGTTTGGTTTTGAGACAGAGTCTTGCTCTGTCACTCAAGCTGGAGTACAGTGGTATGATCTCGGCTCATTACAACCTCCGCTTTCTGGATTCAAGCAATTCTCCTGCTTTAGCCTCCCGAGTAGCTGGGATTACAGGCGCCCGTCACGCTGCCCGGCTAATTTTTGTATTTTTAGTAGAGACGGGGTTTTGCCAGTTTGGCCAAGCTGGTCTTGAACTCCTGACTTCAGGTGACCCCCTCCCCTTCCTCGGCCTCCCAAAGTGCTGGGATTTACAGGCGTGAGCCACCACACCCGGCCTTAAGCAAGACCTACCTGGTTTTTTTGAGGTTTTGTTTGTTTGTTTGTTTGTTTTGAGACAGAGTCTCGCTTTGTTGCCCAGGCTGGAGTGCACTGGCACCATCTCAGCTCACTGCAACCACCGTCTCCCAGGTTCAAGCCATACTCCTGCCTCAGGCTTCCAAGTAGCTGGGACTACAGGTGCCCACCACCACGTCCGGCTAATTTTTGTATTTTTCGTAGAGACGGGGTTTCCCCATGTTGGTCAGGCCGGTCTTGAACTTCTGACCTCGTAATCTGCCCGCCTCAGCCTCCCAAAGTGCTGGGATTACAGGCATGAGCCACTGCGCCCAGCCTAAATAAAATTTTTTATTTTGGAATAATTTTAGATTGACTCGACAGAAAAGTTGCAAAGATAACGGGGAGAATTTCTGTATGCCCCTCACTTGGTTTTTCCCATTAACATCTTACATTACTTTGCTGCATTTGTCACAACCAAGGCAACATCAGTATGTTACCATTGACCAGATGCCATTCTTGACGCTGACCACACTTGATTCTGATTTTGGTAGTTGTTCCCTAATGTCCTTTCTGCTCCTTCTGGATGCCTTCAGGATGCCACGTCATATTTAGGCATCACGGCTCCGCAGCCTTCTCTGGCTTGTGACTAGCTTTAGACTTTCCTTGTCCTTCGTGACCCTGACCATTTGGAAAAATGCTGGTTGGGTATTTTATGGAATGTGCTTCCATTTGGTTTTGTCTCATACTTAGACTGGTATTGCAGGATATTGAGAGGATGGCCAGGTAGGATACTTTATTTTTTTAAGTAGAGATGGGGGCGGGGTCTCACTCTGTTGCCCAGGCTGGTCTTGAATTCCTGGTTCCTGAGCTCAAGCGATCCTCCTGCCTCACTCTTCCAAAGTGTTAGGATTACAAGCCTGAGCCACTGTGCCTGGGATTTTTTGTTTGTTTTTGTTTTGTTGTGGTTTTTTTTTTTAGAGTTTTTTTGGTTTTTTGAGACAGAGTTTCACTCTTGTTGCCCAGGCTGGAGTGCAATGGTGCCATCTTGGCTCACCGCAACCTCTGCCTCCTGGGTTCAAGAGATTTTCCTGCCTCAGCCTCCCGAGTAGCTAGGATTACAGGCATGCATCACCACACATGGCTAATTTTGTATTTTTAGTAGAGACGGGGTTTCTCCATGTTGGTCAAGCTGGTCTCAAACTCCCGACCTCAGATGATTTGCCCGCCTCAGCCTCCCAAAGTGCTGGGATTACAGGCGTGAACCACCGTGCATGGCCCAGCCTGGGTAATTTTTAATAACTTGGTCAGTAGGAGAATTGCATTGCTGGCTACGTGCAGTTTATGCTGGCTGCAGAGGTGCCTGGGCAGGGACTCTGCTTCCCCTCCCCACCCCCGCCCCCATCTCAACCCTTTTGCTGTCTCTCTCTAGCTATTGGGTCCCACCCACTTCAGCCCAGCCAGACTAAGCAGCTGGACTCAGGCTGAGTGGGTGCCAGTTGGCACCCTGAACGCTCCAGCCCCTCCCAGCCTGTTCTAGTTCACAGTGGGTCATCAGTGGTTGCCTGCGACCCTCCTCCCTAGACCTTCGAACCCTGAGTCCCCCCATGTGCACATTGCTGACCCAGGCTTATGGCTCCTTCAGGACTCATGTCCTGGCCTTCCCCAGCCTGGAGCTCCCCTTCAACTCCTGAACTGGGGCTTCAAGCAAGGGTGGGGCTGCTGGGGACTCTTTTTCGGTGCGGAGGGACCAGGCTTGGGGAGTAAGGCGGTGGTTGCAGGCAGATTGCATCAGCCCTGGCTGTTTAACGGGGAGGGGGAGTTGGGGGATTCTCTGGGGACCCCAGCACACCTGGCAACCGCTCCTGGTTAGCGGAGCCTTGGATAAGGGAGAACTCCAGCACAGCATGAGTAGGGGGGGGCATGGAGAGGGAGGGAGATCAGCCACCCGTGTAGGACCCTGAGAATCTGGGACTTGGTGCCAAGAAGGGCCCTCAGGTCACAGAGGCTTGTTAGCGGGAGACAAGACTGAGGTCCCGAGAGGTAAGGGAGGTTGTGAAAATCACGCTGCCAGTTAGATGGGACCTCAGCCTCCACCATGCTGCACAGCTTCCAGGGCCCCAGGGCCCATGGTGTAGCCTCTGGGAGGCCTCCAAGCCCCGACCCTCACCTCAGGCCTGCTGCTGCTCACAACTGCCAAAAGCTATTGATTCCCGCCTGCACCATGCCATCACCCTGCTATTGCCGCAACCCCTCAGTGCTTTCCCAATCAGGGTGGCCCTGGCATGATGGAAAAGGCTCCGAGTTTTGCATCAGACAGACCTGGGTTCTGGTCCTGAGCCCAGCACTCAGTTGTAGACTGGAGTGCAGACAGGGCCCTCATCTGCCTGAGCCTCGGCTGCCTTCTGCAATGTGGGTCAGAGCATGGGCCCTGGCGCCACCCTGCTGGGTTCACGCCCCAACTCCACCAGTTCTGTGACCCTCAGCAAGTGGCAGCCTCTCTGTGACTCAGTTTCCCCTCCGTAAAATGGGGATGAGATGGTCCATTGCAGCCAGTGGTTTTGAGGATTAAATGTGTAAATGTGCGTAAAATACCTAGAGTGGGGCCTAGCATATGGGAAGTGCCCTGTGAGCGACAGTTTCTGCTCGGGTCCGGTGCCGGAGCGCTGTGGAGATGAT